GTTAACTACCGGTCATAACCAAAATCAGTATGAATAAAATGTTTATTTTATTATTAAAACCACAGCTACGAGTATTAGTAGTTAAGAGCTTAACTATTTGATAGAAACACAAATATTCATCGCCGCCATTTATAGCGGAAATTCAAGTTTACCAACAACAATTTCATTTCCGGTTATTTTCGGTAATCGAAAGCTACCAGCTGACTGTCAAATCAACAAGCTGCGTTTGTTTACATTCGAAGTGAATCAGCTGTGCCAGCGTGTGTTTACAAATTTTAACTAAACAAATAGAAGGTAAATTTAGTTATTTCTTGTTAAACATGAATTAAATGAGAATTCTAATATGATTCTAGATGAGCATCTGTTGTTTAATACGCAAACGTGTATGCGTAAATTTGTTGTATCACCCTCCTTCGCAAGTTTACTTGTTCAATACCTACTCCATATGCAGTAGAACATCATTACTTGCGCAACCAGCAGCTCTTAAGTCCAATTTTGGTTCTGTTAACTATGCCACCGCTGCCTCAACCGCCACTGGAAGTAAGTCCAACGAGTGGCTAACTATTTATCGACTGCCGCTGATACGCCTTGCTGCCGGTTTTCAACGTCTGAAAATCTACCAAGGCGGGCTCACGGCACTGGCACTACCAATTACTATTGGACTATCGGAACTCGGACAAGTGTCACCCAACTCAGTTGCGATAGTAGGTGTTATTGGTGCCTCAGGTCTTTTGACATTGTCATTATGTAGTTTGGTTGTGCGCAACGTCGTTGGATTCATGTACATCAATGAAGAGCGGGACAAAGTAAAGGTGGCTTATGTTAATTACTGGGGCAAGCGTTGTGAAGCAGTTGTGGACATTAATGATTTGGATGTCGATTGGACGAAAGTACGGCCGACTGTTTTTAATTTGTATCAGAAGATTCGTTTGTATAGCAACAAGAATCAGTCGTTTAAATTATTGATGAATTATGGGGTTGTTGTCGAACCTGAAATTTTTACAGAAATATTTGGCGAATAGAATGTAGTACGTAGAACACAAGAGGTAGTATATTTTACGACTTATTTGCATTATACATCAGACGTTGGTGATTTTTTGCACACTCAGCTAAAAAAATTAACTTTATAATTTAGCTAAAATAGTGTGTACAAAGGTATCTTAATGTAAAGTAAGTGTTTAAAGTTAGATTTTATTAAAAAAATATATGAAAGACCGTTAAATAAACATAACGTCCCAACCATGTAATATATGCACGGGTGTAGGAAAAAATTTCTTGTTTGGAATGTACATATTTCGATTTACATACGTCACCTGAAATACAAAAAGACGTAACATCATCGTAAATGAAATGGAAATGTCGTAACTACACCTTTTCCAATAGTATTTCAGAAAATCACAAATGTATTTCCGAAAACTACAAATGATTTTCAGAAAAACTCAATTAATTTTCAGAAAAGGCCAAATGTGTTTCAGAAAACCTCAAATTATATTCAGAAAACCTCAATTGATTTTCAGAAAAGGCCAAATGTGTTTAAGAAAACCTCAAATTATATTCAGAAAAACTCAAATAAAATTCAGAAAAGGCCAAATGAATATCAGAAAACCCCAAATGTATTTCAGAAACACTCAAATGAAATTCAGAAAGGGCCAAATGTATTTCAGAAAAACTCAATTGAAATTCCGAAAAACGCAAACGAAATTCAGAAAAGCGCAAATGTAATTCAGAAATCTTTTCCAGAACACTTATCTATGGACTTTTTATCATCACTCTTAGAAAACATAATGGCTTATAAATTCATATCCCGATTAACCCCTCACCCACTTTTTGTAATGGAGTAAAACAGGATAACACTTGTAAAAAAGCATATTTATTTGAACGAAATTATTTAAATTCCTACAGACATATCCCGCAAGGCCAAGACATCCAAAAAAAAAACCGATGAGTGCTGGATAGCACGAGCACAATCCGCAGTAGTAACGCTTTCTTTCGCTTGGCGAATTATTTCTTCCAAGTATTGCAGTCTCCTTTCTACTACTCCCGGTCCGTCGGTAGAAGGCCCATATGAGTTTTGACATAACTTTTTATTTTTGCCCAAATATTCTCAATCGGATTGACCATGGGCGAGTATGGACCCAAGCGCAAAAGGGTAGGCGAACCGCTACTGCCAACTACTTGCTCAAGCCTAGTATGACAGGGTGCATTGTCGCACACCAACGCCAGATCTGACAATGTGTTGCCCATGCTCGTGTATTTTTTTACATAGATGTTTGAATCCATGGCTATTTGTGTCTTTAATTCAAAACTGTGTACTTAGTTGTAAGATTATGTATGTAAAGTGTAAGAAAACAGTTTGGAAATCTACAACTGGATTTTTCTGAAATACATTTGTGTTTTTCTGAATTTCAATTGTGTTTTTCTGCAATACATTTGGGGTTTTCAGAAATACATTTTGCCCTTTCTGAATTTCATTTGAGTTTTTCTGAAATATATTTGGGGTTTTCTGAAATACATTTGGCGTTTTCTGAAACTCATTTGGCCTTTTCTGAATTTCAATTGAGGTTTTCTGAATATAATTTGAGGTTTTCTGAAACACATTTGGCCTTTTCTGAAAATCAATTGAGGTTTTCTGAATATCATTTGAGGGTTTCTGAAACACATTTGGCATTTTCTGAAAATTAATTGAGTTTTTCTGAAAATCATTTGTAGTTTTAGGAAATACATTTGTGTTTTTCTGAAATACTATTGGAAAAGGTGTAGTATTTAAATTTTTTTTCATAAAATAATGTGGGGAGTTGTAGTTCGATGAAATCCATCATATAAATCAAAAAGTGAATTTTAAATTTTTTATTAGTTATACATACGTATTCCGCCTTATCCTGAGTTTCACCCGAAAGAAAATTCACCCGAAATTTTTTTCATCCGCCCATATTAAATACATGGAAACGAAAAGTGAACTCGTTCGGGGAAATTGAAACTCATTGTAAGGTTAATAATGTATTTATGGATAAAGAACGGCTTTTAATTTTTATCTGAAAACGTGATTTAAAAAATTATACAAAATTCAATGACGTTTACTTGTGCTCATCTGGAGCTAATTTAAGACCAAAAATATTTATTTATTGTTCGCTATATATGAGTTTGTCATAGATTTTTACAGAAATATTGGCGAATTAATATTGTTGTTGTTGTTGTTGTTGTAGCGGCTACAACAACCCCGCCCAGATCGATTGATATCTCAGTCGTTGTCGTCGAATTCCACTAACGGCAGCCCTAAGAAGCGAGCAGCCTCTACAGTGTCGGTCCACAGGGACAACGCCGCACTGTGTTCTGTATTGGAAAAAATGGAAAAAAAATATCAAATATCTCCCGATCCAAACCAGATAGAGACACAAACTAAACGGCATTATAAAGCCCAAATACTGGTGAATATGGGAAAATTATTCAGATTCTTCAAAACAGTTTCTGGACCTTGAATTACAAGGTCAAAGTTCAACTAAAAAAAAAAAATTATATATAAAAGCAAATATCTAGCCATCGAAAATTAATAGAGACCTAATTGAAATAGTATTTTAAACTCCAAGTATTGCTGAAAAGAGCCAAACTGTTTCGATTCGTCAAAAATAAATTCCCTATCGTAAATTCCGGGATCAATGGTCAACTAAAAAAAGGAAAATTTTCTGACTTAAACATAGCTAATTGTTTTTTTTTTTAATTGTTTTATGCGATATACATACATATAAATGCACTTATGCATGTGTGGTGGGTCATATCTATGTATGTATTTTTACATACACAATATCACATCTATATACATATACTGCCGGAGCAAAGTATTGGCACAGCAAATTTTTCACAATATATGCAACAATTTTCATTCTAATATGTTTCCGCTAATTTCGTATAAAAAGATGGTCCATTCTACAACAAAAAACATAAAAATATAATTCCTAGACTTTGTGCAAAGCTCGCGAAAATTCAGCAAATTTTTATGAAAAATTTTTATTAAGAATTTTTTTGAGTATGCAGTTTTGCAGCCCATTAAATTCTAGTAAAAAAAATGCAAGTTCGGAGTTAGACAAAAATCGTATTGATTTTTGAGATTTTTTTTTGTTGAAGGTGTTTTGCATTTTTTCCATATAAAGTTTTTTCGAAAACATTTTTTATATGAAAGAAACTGCATGAAAAAAAATTGCCAAAAATTAACGGTAATTCCTAGCTACTTAAAACTTGTACTCTATTATAATAAAATTGATTGGGCTACAAATCTACATACTAAAAAATCTGATTAAAAACTTGAAAATTTGCATGAAAATTTGCTGAATTTTCGCGAGTTTTGCACAAAGTTAAGGAATTATATTCTTAAATTTTTTGTTGTAGAATGAACAATATATATTTTTTTTAATTGGAGTACAAATATTAGAAAAAAAATTGTTGCATATATTGTGAACAATTTTCTGTGCCAATACTTTGTTTCGGCAGTGTAGCTTTCCCTGGAGGATGATTATATTAAGTAGAAAAATAGATTTAATCAAAACTAGGCGGAACAAAAAATTCATAAATTAAAACTCATAATTCGATCATCGCATTATCGATTTGCTTCGGTAAACCGGCTGTATCAACCGGATTGTTTGCGATTTTCCTCATTCAAAAATTCACTACTTACGAAGAAGTCGTGATAGACTCTTGGGCGGCCGGCCCACAAATATGGAAGTATTTGTACATAAGCATTTAATTATTTTAAAATTTTTGAGTAAATATTTAAATAAAAAAACCTTTTGTCTTGTTTTTGCCCAATCTCAGTATAAATTTAATATATCGGCTGCTGAGATAGGACGTTTTTCAATCGTTTTCTGAGATAGGATGATCTTCCACCGAGCCATCGATTTTTGTTTTATTTTTTGAATTGGAAATATTTTTTTTTTTGGTTATAATTTTTATGGTCAAAAAGGTTATTCAATAAAAGGTTATCTCTATTTTTATAATTTTATCGTAATTGTTTGATATTTTTTTTTGTATAGCTAAAGAAACAAATCACAAAAAAATTAAAATAGCTCAATAACAATTTCGCGATAACTTAAAAGTAAAGCAGAGCTAAATTAAAATGAAATCAGTGACTTAAAAAAAAAAATCGAAATACTAATTATTTTCAGTACCTACCTATTCACGCATATAAGAGTTTAAAACTGATAGACACATTTGGTTTAAATATTTATTAATTATTTTGGTATTTATTCATAAACACATATTACATAGTACATAACAATTGCATATGCGTGTACATGTATATGTACATAAGTATATGTATTTATACTAAAAAGCTGTCAAAATATTTTATACTTTGTGCCCCTGAAGAGTGAATTAACTACTTATATTATACTTTATTTTTATATTTAAGTAGTATCACTTATGTTGTAACTTATAAGTTATAACTAGGGATCATTCTTAAGCATCGTAATGTCTTATCTTAAAGTCATAAATATGTTCCAAGATAAAATAAGGGTTTAAGGGCATTCAAAGATATAATAGGCGTCATCGATTCGCCAACAGTTAACGACTGGCGAAACGAACGAACTCAATGAGGTACAACCAAACTCGATGTCGTCTATCCGTGCTAGCTAACTTTGTTGCTGCTTTCACATGCAAAATTTTTCGTTAAGCGACCAGATCTCAAACATGCAAGCAGCGATGTGGCGAATCGATGACGGCCTATAGTTCTGTTCGCTATGCCAAAAACTTGTACAAGCTGTTACTAAATAGCGTTCGTTTGAACAAAGAACCTGTAAAACTTGCAAGTAGAGAGCACAATTTTGACATTTCATTTGAAGAGGAAGTTGCAAGGGTGCCGCCCATCTCCGTACCGCAATTCCGCTTTCAGTGAATTTGACAGAATCGCTGTTTGTTTTACGTTACAATTGTGCAACTTATTAACGTGTTTCTTGTAAAATTTCTCCCATTCTTGCCCGCGTTTTGGCATTTATCTCTTGCAAATGCACCAGTGTGACGTCACACAAAAATTATTCTCAAAAATCCTGCCCGAAGGGCGTATCCTTGTATTCTATCATTCTGGGCTAATTATATATGTATTTTCTAAGAGTTTAAAAATAATTTTGTGTAGTTACGAATGCCATAAAAACAGTTTAAATGCAATTTTACCTAGAAAAATTTTACGACTTTAGGGCATTACAACGCTTAAGATGTCCTGTTAAATATTTAACAAATACATACGAATGTATGTATGTTTAAGGCATGTCAGGCAAGTTTTCACTGCGCTATTGATGCGTATTAAGGTTATTGTAAAAAATTATTTTAGTTGCAGCTACTTCGGCTCAGCTTGCCTCGTCGCGGTGTTCTGTTGCATTGTCTCCATCTGCACTTGTACCCTCTGGCCGCTCGTCTAACACAATCGCATTGGATGGTTTCTTATCATGCTTATCATTTGCCAGTTGTTTTGCTTCCGCGACCTGTTTTGAAAATGCGTACAAGGAATGTATTATTTTTAAAACTCGCTACACATAATAAACATATGTACATATTAAAAAAGCTAAAACACTTGTACGTAATAGGCTGCACTTAAGAAAGGCATAATTATTTTTATTTTTAAATACATACATATATGTATATACAGTTCTGTTAAAGCGCTTAAGTACTCACCGTGTCAGGTAACTTTTTGCGGAATGTTTCTGGCAACAACAACCCTAAGATGCCCGCCGATAAGGATGCTGCTCCGAATAGTAGCAGCGGTAAGGCCTCATAATATGTACCCTTTATTATTTTTATTTTGGAACAAGTGCAAAAATAATTTTCATGAATTTCTTAGCCGACGTTTAAGCAGAAAAAGTACTAATACTTTACCAAAAGCGGCACAAAAGGTGCTAGCATTGCGCCAAAACGTGCAAACGTAGACATCACTCCAACGCCACCACTCCGTATTAACTGCAATTGGGTTGGGGAAATAAAAACAAAAAAAATTAACAGCTGTTTGTGGCGTAAGAAACGGAAAAAATATTTCGCATGCCTTCGTATGAGTGCATTTAAGATACCCTACAAGACATTGCTGAGCACTTTAGGCAAAAATTCTCACACATTTACACTTTTGTTTTTGTAGTACGGCATAAATGAGTAGTTTGACTATTAGTACTGAGGACTTTCTGATGACAACATTGAGGGGAAAGTACTCAATTTTTTCCCATGGCCTGAATGAAAATGAGGACTTTGATAAGCACTTTTGTGATTAGGGATAATGATAATATGAGTACTCATATGATACTCAGCTGTCTTGTAGGGTACATAAGTACCTATGTATATGTATGTATGTTTGTATGTCATAGATGCAGTTATTAGTCAACAATGCAAAAAACAGTATTTTAAACATAAATACAAACAACATGAATTGTATGAGTAAAACGAATGTGTCGAAATGCAAGACCAAAAAACTGCGCTTACATATTTAAAAGCTTAAATAACAATAAAATTATTAAATAAACTAAAAAAAATGCAGCGGCTTTCGGCTATACATACATACATATATTTAGGGGATTCTCAAGTCGTGTTTAGCGATGTCAGACTTAGTTTTTGCTCTGATGAAGTGAGCTCAGGCTCAAGAATTTTTACTGAAATCAAGTGGGAGCTTAAGCTTACTTTTTATGCTTGAGGCCCAATGCCTCAAATTATTCAAATTTGTATATGCAAAATAGCGGTTAAAAACGTTAAAAGAGATTTCCTATCAGTTCAAAAAAATATTCTGAGTTTCGCCTGAAAAAAAAATTCACCCGAAAATTTGTCATCCGCCCATAGTAAAACTATGGAAACCAAGAGTGAAAAGTGAACCGGTTCGGGGAAAATGAAACTCATGATAAGGCTGATTGGTGCAGTTACAAATCTATTAAACTAGTATTCACACATTTTTAGATTTTAAGACATTACGACGCTTAACACGTGTTGTGAATCCCCTAAAAAAACCTTAAAATAAAAGAAAATAAATTAAAATTAAATTTAACAAATAAATTAAATACAACTAATTTACACATAGTTAAATTGAATAAAATGAAAAAATTCAATTAAAATAAATTCAACTAAACTAAAACAAAATAAAATAAAATGAAAATTAAATCAGATTAAAAGGGACGGGCTTGAACCGGTTGAAACGCTTTTTCTACTTATTAACTGGGTCTGGTGGTCAGTATCACCTGTCATCACACAATCAGTCAGAGCATACGCGTCTTGGCACCCACGTCCTTCTTGACAGTTACAAGTTTGAAAAAGTAGACGACTTCGTTTATTTGGGAACCAGTATTAACACCAATAATAATGTCAGCCTTGAAATCCAACGGAGAATCACTCTTGCCAACAAGTGCTACTTTCGGACTGAGTAGGCAATTGAGAAGCAAAGTCCTCTCTCGTCACTTTATAAGTCACTCATCATACCTGTGCTGGGGTATGGCGCGGAGGCATGGACATCGAAAACATCTGATGAAGCGGCTCTTGGAGTTTTAGAGAGAAAGATTCGGCGAAAGATTTACGGACTTTTACGTGTTGGCGATGGCGAATACCGCAGACGATTTAACGATGAGCTGTATGAGCTTTACAACGTTATAGACATAGCGCAGCGGGCTTGGCCATGTCGTTCGAATAGACAGAAACGCTCCTGCTTTGAAAGTATTCAACGCGGGCCGCGATGCTGGTAACAGAGGAAGAAGAAGGCTTCCTCTGCGTTGGAACGACCAGGTGGAGAAGGACTTGGCTTCACTTGGCATTTCCAATTGGCGTCAGTTAGCCCAGAAGAGAAATGACTGGCGTGCTGTTTTGGACTCGGCCAAAATCGCTTAGGCGGTTAGAGCGCCAATAAAAAAGAAGAAGAACTGAATCATTAACCCAACCGAAATTTTCTGCAAATGTTTGATGCGAACCGAACCACTTCTCATAGAGGCTAATGTCCGTTTCGACCAATTTTTAATAGAACAATTTTCTCCACTTTTTTTTCGTTTCTTAAATATGGTAATACTTGTTTTTGCTCGGAAATGGTGTTGCACCTATCTTAGAAAATGCATTAAAATCAGTTTTGTATAAAGAACAAGATCCCATCGCTTAATTTAAAAAATGAGAACTTAAGAAGATACATATCGTCGTTTAAAGTGCAAAACTGCGTATGAAAAATAGAAATGTATAAAAAATAAAAAATTAAGTAAAACAAAGTAAATCAAAATAAGATAAAATGAAATAAAAAATAAAATCAGATAACGTGAAATAAAAAGATAAATAAAGTTAAATACAATAAAATACAACATAACAAAAAAAACACAATTATGTAAAAATATAATAAAAAATGTCGTAATATAAAACAGGAATACACAAAACAAAAACAAATTTTCAACTTACCGTTGGCATCATTTCCGCTGTGTAAGTATAAATCACAGCAAACGATGAGGTAATGCCTAGTTTACCAATTAAAAAAAGCGTCACAATAGCCCAAGTTGAACCTTTAAAATGTTTCAAAAAAGTTATTTTCAATATTACTTGACAGATTATTCCCCTATGCTTATTGAAATTGCATATAATTATTTACGTGTCTCCAAGTTAGTTTGCACTACATTGAGATTTTTACGAAAGCAATAATCAAAGAGAAAATATATAAATATACATATTATTCACTATAAATAAATATATAAAATAAATTAATATAATTGTATAAAGAATTAGGCTGACAAAACTATTCTGTGTACTAAATACTTGCTAAATATGATTTAGTTAAGCTTTTCAATTTAAATCAAGACATTTGCAAACCAGGCCATTTTTAACCGACTTCCAAAAAAGGAGGAGGTTATCAGTTCGTCGGAATCTTTTTTTTTTTTTTTTTATGTATGTTACCGCATAACTTTGGACCACGTCAACCGATTTCGATAATTCTTTTTGCACGAAAAGATCCGGCCATTGGATCATGAAATATATAGATATATATATTTTTTTTTAAGTCGGTTTTTTTTTGCTAAAAATTACTTGTTATATACAAAATATATTTAGAAAAAGTCATTCATTCTTAACATTTCAACAAAAATTTATCAAAACTCAGAATTTTGTCAGCCTGCATTATTAAATAAACCTATTATTTGGTAGAATAAACGAATATACTACCTTTGGTCAAATAGCCGCCAGCTACGCAAGTGACTGCACAGAGAAATAGCGAACCTGACAGAGCGAAGCGGCGACCTAATTTTCGTAATGACACCTAAAATATTATAGAAACTTTTATTAGATGCAAGCCAGTTAGTAGAACTACAACTCATTCGGCCCTATTATGGTTGTCGACGTCGACGTAAACAAAAAATAGCCCTGGTCAGTCCAACTCCGGTTTTGACAAAAAAAAAAAAAATTACATCTACGTCAACGTCGCCAACCATAATAGGGCCGATTATTAAAATATAAAAATCCTTAAGCTGCTTTTAGGCGCTTTACACAACTCACCCAAGCCAGCGTGTAACCTGGTATTTCAATTAGGCACACTAAAATAAAATTCAAATATTTATTGCCACTAAGGCTCGTAGAATTCAAAGAGAGTCCATAGAAAACTACAGCATTTATTGCCCTGCAATTAAAGAATTAATAAAAAACTCCTCTCCTCCATTCTGGCCCACTTACCAAATGTAGAGCATTATTGTGTAACGTAAAAGCAATGTTTTTGATTTAAATATTTCCCGCACTGCTTTCCATATTTCATTTTTGCCCTCTTGCCCATCGTCCTTTAATTCTTCCACATCCAGATAATTATCTGTGGCTTTCGTCTGCGCTGTCTTGGTAGGCGTTGATGGCTGCGATACACAATTCTCCGCCTTGAAGCTGGCCAACAACGATAGGGAGAGCTCTCGCTTATTTACAGCTGCGGCGCGTTTTATAATCACTCCGGCCTTTTCACGTTCATTTCGTGCCAACAGCCAACGCACCGATTCCGGCACGAACCAGTAGTAGACAATGAAGAAAACCGGCGGCACAGATAGCGCATATTGTAGCAGCTGCCAATCGTGTAGGAGCCATGCGGCAGCACCCACCAAGGCCTCTCCAACGGCATAGAAGTAATTGAGCACTATTGAAGACATTTCACGCATGCTGGGACCAACCATTTCTACGCCTATAATGAAGGCCAGTGGATATACGCCAGACGTACCTACTGCGTTGAGGAAGGCAAATACCAGAAAACTAGTATAGTCCCAGGCCATACCTTGGGCGATGCCAGTGATGGCCATGAAGACACTACAAAGTATGAAGATGTTTTTGCGTCCGAAACTGTGAACCATTTTTGTATGTTTAATTTGTCTACTTATATAAAAGTATTTGCTAAGATGTCGTACCGATCCGCCAGATACCCAGATATTGCGGTTCCAACAACGAGACCGGCAAAATGCATAGTGCCCACAAAAGCAAGCTTCCAGGCGTTTTCCTTGCAGGTCAATTCCCACTGTAGGATAAAGCGATATGAATATGTAAGTAATTTACATGCATAAATATATATTAAAAAAAATACATTTTAAGTGAATCTAGTATATTTATAGTGAGTGACTTCCATTCCAATTAAAAAATGGTAGCATTATATCTTTGTTACCAAATAATTTTTGCCGACATATATAAATCAAAACCTATAAAAATAGAAGTTTCGTAATATAAATTTTGCCCTTTGTGGCTTAAGTAAACACGGTTTTAAAGACCAAACAGGGGGTTTGGCTGGCTATCCGTTCGCGGCAAACAAAAGAACATTTTAGTGACGATTTTATTTAAATAGAACGTAATCAAACTCGTACAATCTCGCAATCTCTCTCTCTCTCTTCCGATTTCGTATTCGTTTCTTTGTATCATGATAACCAGCCTAGAGAAAAGCTGGCCAACGAAGGTTAGATAGCTTCTAGCTTATCTTACGAGCATGAAAAGTAGACTTGACCCGAAGAATATCGATGCTGATGCTTTTATATCACCAGGATATACATTGGCAGGACAACACCATTAACCCTGTCCTAAGACTGTCCACACTTGCTCTCAGAGAGCACCCTTCAACTAACCGACATATGCCATTTCCCGTTTATTAAGTACCGCCGCCGAAGAGTAGTCGGATTTCAGCGAGCCCGAAATATCAACTGTGCGAAATACATGAGTGCGAAGAGCTTGAAATGCTGGCCGACAGGAACAATGCCCGAAAATTTTACCAGATAGTTAGGCGACTTACGGAAGTTTTCAAGATCAGGGCGTACTGCTGTAAGAACAACAATGGCGACCTAGTTACTGATGTTAAGAGCGTACTTAAATTATGGAGGGAACATTTCCCCACCCACTGAATAGTAGCAGCACGGAAATTTGTGGAGAAGAAGAACCCGAACCCCCAGTCGATAATGACGGAGTCGATGCTTCACCACCTGACTATGACGTATTACGAATAGCAAGCGTGCTTGAAAAACAAAAAGCTGCTGGGGATGACAGCGTGCTAGCTGAGCTATTCAAGTACGGTGGCGAGGAGTTGATAAGGTGCATGCATCAACTCGTATGCAGACTATGATCAGATGAACTCAAGCCCCATGACTGGAATTTAAGCGCGCTCTGCCCAATCCACAAGAAAGGCTACCCCTACCGCGGGATCAGAATTCTAGGCATAGGTTACAAGGCCTTATCGAGTGTTTTGTGTGAGAGACTGAAGCCCACCGTCAACGAACTGATTGGGTATTATCAGTGCGGTAGCAAATCCACCATAGACCAAGTATTTACAATATGCCAACTCTTGAACCCCTCGAGAGAAGGATCGACACTCACCATCGATTTGTTGACTTCAAAGCCGGTTTAGATAGCACTAAAAGTAGTTTCCTATATGCCGCGATGTCTGAGTTCGGCATACCTTCGAAACTGATACGGCTGTGTAAAATGACGTTGAGAAATACCACCAGCTCCGTCAGAATTGGGAAAGACCTCTCCAATCCGTTTGCTACCAAACGGAGTTTCAGACAGAGCGACTCACTTTCATGTGATTTCTTTAATCTGATGTTGGAGAAGATAATAAGAGCTGCAGAAATTAACCGCTCAGGAACAATATTTTACAAGAGCGTACAATTGCTTGTTGTGGGTAACAAGAACCGCGAAGTCTGTTCTGCGTTTTCCAAGTTGGATAAGGAAGCAAAACGAATGGGTCTGTCAATGAGGACAAGACGAAGTATCTCCTGTCATGAAACAAACAGTAAGGGCATTCGCGTCTTGGCACCCACGTCACTGTTGACAGTTATAATTTTGATAAAGTAGGGAATTTCGTTTACTTGGGAACCAGCGTTAGCACCGATAATAATGTCAGCATGGAAATCCAACGCAGAGTCACTCTTGCCAACAAGTGCTACTTTGGACTGAGTAGGCCATTCAGGAGTAAAGTCCTCTCTCGATGTACGAAAACCACGGTGACAGGTAATAAGATCAACGGAAATAAGGTCAATTGACTTTATTTCCCACCCTAATGCGAAATAAAGTCAATTGACATTATTACCTTTTTAAAAACGAAATAAAATCCATTGACATTATTTCTCTTTCAAACATTAAATTTTCTTAGCTTCGCGGCGGCCCGCGTCAACGCGCCACACCGCTCGCGCCCCGCGTACCCCGTGCGACCGGCGCGCACACCACGTCACGCTACGCCGCGGGCCCCCTTCGCCGTCTCCCACTGTGCTGTAACGCAGGTAAATTTATTTTTTGTATACGTTGAAATACATTTTTTTATATATTTTAAACATCGAGGGCTTATATTCAATAAAATACCCTCTATCTGCACACTTTTCACAAAGATGAGATTCTGATAGAAAAATCCATCTAAGCTTTAACTGTCATCAGTGATATTAATGCTACCTTATATAACGACAGGTAATAAGTCCCATATGGTTTCTAAAATCACAAATTAGTTTTTGTGCAAATTGCAGAGAGAGGTAATGAATTCAAGCCCTCGATATTTCACATTTTTATATTTGTAAGTTATTAGATGCAGGGATGCCAACTTGGCTCAAACCGTGCCATTTGTCCCTATTTTACTTCACATGGCACTTAATTTTTGAGTTTGGCACAAAGTGACAAAATGGCACTTTTGTAAAAAAAAATTACATTTCAATACATTTTTGTGAAATCCTTTGCTCAACTAAAATTTTGTAATTTATAAAGGCTATTCAACTGGTTTATCTTATTTTATCATTGCACTTTTGTTTGGAAAATGTAGCTTTATTTTATTGCTAAATGTGAATGATTAAAAGGAATGACCCCTTTTTTGGCACTTTTATTTTTCTATTTGGCACATTTTGGCACTTTTTTATCCTCAATATGGCACCTCATAACTAAGGATAGTTGCCAGCCCTGATTGGAAGATTTCTGCTGTGTTTTGGGGCAACAACTTGTCTGCAGTAAAAACGCATATAATTTGTGTTTCAAAAGTGTGTGAAAACCAATCAATTAACTTATATGATCTCGGTTCCGATATTAAATAATCAATAATTGTTTATACCCGCATTTTGGCACATTGGCTCGTTGAATGTGCCATCTAATAAATAGTGTCGTCAATCTCCTTAGCTGCTTTTAAATGATGTCGTCACAAATTGCTGGCGGAGGCATGAATACAATGTAAGAAGATTTTTTTTCTATAATTGTTTCCTTATAGAAAAGTTGGTTTCTTTTCCACCTTAGACATTCTGAATTCGTTCAAAATATGCTAATTTAAAACACAGAATTCTTTCAGGTTTTTGGACATGGACTGTTTCTTCAATTTAATAGTGTTCGCTTTATTTTTGTGGAAACGAAACATGTTTTGCAAGTTATGGATCATTTCTACACTCTTTCTTCAAATATTTCTCGTATTCCAGCTGTGCGCAGGCGTTTAGTTTTTCGCATCGTGTTTTTACATATTCGTAATTTAAATTTTTTAATAAAATCAAATGGTGGTAGTTCATGATTGTGTGTGGATTAATATTACAACACTGAGGATTTGGCAATAACCTTTTTCAGCTATTAAAAAATAACACTTACGGGGCAATGTTTATTGCAAGAACAACATTTTTTTCTATGAATCGACATACTTTAAGCATTGTTGACGCTATTTCCATTTGAACGAGGAAATAGCGTCAACGACTTTATTTCCAAATTTTTGTTGACTTTATTTCGCTTTTGAAAAGGTAATAATGTCAGTTGACTTTATTTCGCACCAGGGTGGGAAATAAAGTCAATTGACCTTATTTCCATTGACCTTATTACCTGTCACCGAAAACCACACTCTATAAGTCACTCATCATGCCCGTGCTGGTATATGGCGCAGAAGCATAGACAATGACAACATTCGAGGAGGCGGCTCTTGGAGTGTTCGAGAGAAAGATTTTTCGGAAGAGTTACGGGCCTTTACGCATTGGCGACGGCGAGTATCTCAGACGATAGAACGATGAGCTATAATTAACTCGGAACCCGCTGGTGGTAGCAGAGGAAGGAAGAGGAAGGCGCCAGTGCGATGGAAAGACCAAGTGGAGGAAGACTTGGCTTCACTTGGCATTTATAATTGGCGTAACTTGGTACAGAAAATAAACGACTGGCAGGCTTTGTTGAACTTGGCCAAAATCACTTACTCGGTTACAGCGCCAATAATGAATAAGAATGAAGAAAATCGATGGATAACTAGAAGTGAAAGTACATTGCGTCACCGTCACCGTTTGACATTAGACCGTAAAATTTTAAAATCGCTGCAACTCGTTGGAAAAATTACTTTGCACTTCTTCTATTAGTGTTTTTAAATAAATCTGAATTTTTCACAAGTAGAAAAATTTATTTGCTAGGTTGGAGCTGCTTCGGCCGATGGAGTAATAGATGTATACCTTATATGTACATATCGAGCCCTAACCGCCAAAATAACGTAAGCAACATTTTTTCCAAAATTTTCTTTTTGATGCAGAAATATTCCTAGAGCATCTAGATGCCCTAAAAATATGGCTGCATTAAAGAGAAAGTTTTGAAAAAATATCGCTTACGCTATTTTTATTATTATATTTATTATTGTTATATTTCTGTTAATCATTATATTATATTTCTGTTAATCATGGTTTTCGTTGTTTATTGTTTAAATAAAACAGACTCCCTGGAGATGACAAGAGTGTCGAAGCGCGTAGGAGGGACAAGAGAAAAATATAAACATTTCGCCTTTTTACTCTATCGGCCAAAGCATTTCCAACGCAGCAATCAAAATTAATCAGAATTTGGCCCATTCGAACTAAGAAAAATTTACGTTAAAATATAAACCAAACGCACAGTAGTTGTCACTTTACGCAAACGCATAAGAAATTTTGAAAGTTGAGCTAATTTGTGCGGCACCATCTCCGTTCCAACTTTTTCCACAACAAAAGGGCATGAGTGATAAAATGAAAATGTATAAACATTTTTTGTATAAAATATGGGCAGGAAAGAATGCTACTCATACGCCACGTACATACATATCAACGAGTGATTCTATCTACAAAGGAATTTGACGGGATCATCCGGTGAACAAAAAAAAACCCAATTTGTTACCCAGTGTTATTGTTTTAATTATAAAATAATGCTGGCTCCCTCAAAATTACTACTGCGCAGGCCTGCGGTGGTTTCACTTTAAATCACTTACTAGCAAGTTGGAAAAATAAAATATCCATCACATAAATTTTCGGAGAAAATTACTTTCACATTTTTCTTGCTGTTATTGCGCATTACTAGCGTTAACTTCGAATTTTCGCGATTCTTTCAGATTGACTTAGTCTGTTTAGAATAATTTGACTGATACTGTGTTTTTAAGTGAATATTAAATTTTAAGTTAATTGATGTTTTGCTTTTCATGAAAATTGTTACACATGTTATGCATGTCATCATTAAAAATTAGTATGCTAAAAACAGAGCTGTATTTTAGTTTTACAAACCTAGATATTTAAAAAAATAACATGCGTAATTATTGAAAGGGGGAAGAAGCTAAATTTCGCAGGCCTGTGATATTAATCAGTGACCGTAAAAATTTGTAGCTTTAAAATAAAAATTGGGCTATTTTTTCGATCATAATTGATTGTGTCGTAATTATGTGAGCCTTAATCATGATAAAAACCATGGTGGAATAATACAAGGTGTTGGATATTGACAGCGTTCTCGCTCTAATCTGCCATCTTGGCTCCCTTAGCAAAATCGGTGTTTCCCTCTTGAAAAAACTACATTTTACCGCCTTTAAAAAAACTAAACTACCTCATTCCCTATTCCAAAACTGATTTGCAATCACTGAACAATTTTTTGACATTTACTTTATTCTTATTCGTTGACAAAATTAAATTAAAAATTAAAATCATTAATTCGACAAAAAACATTGGCTTTGTGTATTCTCCAAAGGCCTAAAATCAGCCAAATACCCTATGTGGGTCGGCTTAATCAGTAAAACGTGACAGTAGTTGACTTTTGAGGTTAATATATCGGCCTTGAGCTGGTACGGCTTTTAAAACATCCGCAGCTTCCTTTAAAGCATCGCTGCTAATTGCTAAGAGGACCAGATTATATTTCCGGACATAAGATGTGGTCTTGTACGACTGAAAGGTGGCCTCAATTTGTAGAAACCATTTGTTTGGCATCTCAGTTCAGAACGGTCGCAGCTTGCATTGCGATACAAGCTCCACATCTTTAGTTGGCATTTTGTTCGATGTAATATTTTCCCCATCCGTCGATGCGCCCTTTTGTCGACTCCGTCATGTTGTAACGACTCGGGGTCACCACTAATTTTTTGATGGCGAAATTTTTGTAAGTTATATCAATCATCTTATAGTATTTTCGGGTAAAAATTAGACCCCCAAGCGGTTTTGGAAGTTTGACTATAATTATAGGACATTGTGTTTAATAAACTAAATTACCATTTATTGCATAAGTGCTACGTAATATATACTACTTTCGCAAATTTAGCTTATCATAATATACCGTTTGTTACTATTTATATGCAAAATTTGATATGAAAGAGTACCAAATTTCGTACTACTTCGCAAAGCGTGCTTCTTTTCTTCCCGTTTCTCTCGTTCTTCCATATTACAACCTTTTGTAAGGGAGCCGTCGACATGAGCTGTCACTACGTACAACACCTTGTATAATTCCACCATGGATAAAAACATAGTAAGTTAAAACCGTTCTCTCAATTCGTCGGCCATGATTTTTTTTGAAGTTTGCCAACATTTTAATATCATATAAAATTGAGAGTAAAAAAAGGAATTGTTCGAAGTTGTTGTTGTTTGAGATTGAAAATGAGAATGTGTGTGTGAGTTTGTGTGTAAAATTTCAAAATTAAATTGCTTAAAAAATCTGCATAAAAATATTTAAAAATCTTTTCAATGGAATTGTAAGAATAAGATTTTTGATGTTGTTTTTTTTTACTTTTTTCAAAGATTGGTTTAAAAATGTTCTGATTTGGACTTATGGGATCTCAGTTGAAAGGTATTTTCACCCTGTTTTTATTTCTGGCAAAAAAACGGCATTCGTGTCCCATCTTGTTTTTTTCGAATACCAACACATCTTAATTCAACTTTGAATGACGTTCGTTCATCCTACCTTTCTCTTCCATCCTTTGAATGAGTTTATTAGCAAATAAATAAAAAGGGTGAGAAAATACCTTTCCAATGACACCTCTTAAGTCTAAATCGGAAGAGTTTAGGTTTAGTTATTCAAGTTTTTCCTATACCAATCTTTGAAAAAAGGTAAAAAACAGCATCAAAAATCTCATCATTACGATTCCGTTCAAAATTTTTTTGATTTTTTTTTAAATTTTTGTATGCAGATATTATAAGCTTAAACCGTTTTGTCATTTGAGGGGATTTTTTCAAAAAAAATCTTTAAGAAACTATTTTTATTCATAAAAAACTCCATTTTTGGAGGTATTTTCAAATCGGTCCAGCTCACTTAAATCTTAATAATTTTCCGAAATATTTTGGTGGACGTCTTAAAATATAATAGATTTTATAATTCCAATGGAAAAATAGTACCGATTTTTTTTTGTATGGGGAGTGATGCAGTCTAATGTACATACATATGTACATATGTATGTATAACGATTATTATCACTGCTATATGTAAATGCAGTTAAAAATAAAATTCGAAATTTCCGCTTCATGGCATACTTACTTCTTGCAGAATGGTCCGCTCCTGATCGTCATAGACCCAAATATTGCAGCGCTCCCGCCCATTGTGATTGAAATCGCTTTTCGGGCATTCGCTTGCTTCTTCACTTGTATTGTAAATTCTGCTCACTTCATTTGCGACAAGCGCTAACGTATTATTTGCTTGGTATCGAAAGCAATTTTCCGGTGTAAAATGGCCTTTTTTGTCATAGGTGCCAGGTACTGCATTGGGCAGCCAAGGTTCGTGTAAACTTGGTGCGTCTGGATCGTCGCACTGTGGAATCAAACACCTTAGGCAGTAAATTAAACGGAAAGTGTATGAAAACGATTTGGAAATAATGAGATCAAGAAGCAAGACAATTGATTGCGTGCGATGGATACTGCTGTAGAGTGCGTGTGAGATTCTACATACTTACACACATACAGTGACGAGCAAAACTGTAACATGGTGTAACACTTTTTATTTCAGCCACCGCTATCTTTCCAAGTTCTAACGACTTTCATACTTTTGTTGTATATTCTTATTGGCACACCCCTACTCCCTCTCTCATAAAGATTTGAAGTGAATCCAACAACAATAATAAAACCAGCAGGCAAAAATGTAAATTAAGGCCAATGTTACAGTTTTGCACTCACTCTCAGTTTTGCTTTTTACAGTTATATTTTACTTAGTTGGAAGTCAAATGACGTTTTTCTGTATTGTAATTTATTCAAGAAGAGATTTTCAGTAAATAATATGGTTAATCAGGAAACTTAAATGTAAATAATAGATTTACCGCGGAAACGCGGGGCCGTAGGAAAAGTGGCAAAAAATTGTGGAGCTCGCCACGTGAAAATGTTAAGACTGAGAAAAAATATAGCGTAAAATGTTATTAAGGACAAAGGAAGTCTGCCAAAAAATATTACGGTCCGATATCTTGTGAACTTAGTAGCAAGTAGCGCTGCAGCCACTATTACAAGAGCGTTTAAGGTATTAAACTCGAATGCAAATCAGTAGACAGCGAAGCGAAGAATCGTCAAATTGAACGCAAAGTTATAATAAAAGAGGAAAAAACCATTTTGATCAAAATACATGTGCGAGAGTGGTAGCATTTTGCCGGATCGCACGAAAACCGGACCGTTGCCTATTGGGATATGTTAGCCCTTACAAAATGCAATAAAAAAAACACATTTTTAAGATTTAATTGAAGGTTAGTTGGTCTGACAAGACTAAATTAATCGCTTTCAATCAGATGACCGGGCATGGTATTGGATCAAAGACCCAAATTAAGCCCATGCGCATCATGTAAGGCAAACTGTAAATCACAGTGGTCGGTCAATAATAATTTAGGGTTGTATTCCAAAAATGTTGTTGGTCCGTTAGTACGCATTATGCTTAAGGAACAGTAACTGTTCATATTTCAACAAAATTTGCAAGATGTAGTCGAAAAATGAGAGATTCTGCTGAAAAATCACCCAAAACATACTGCATATGTTCGCATAAACTGGATGCAAAAGCAAAAAAGTTGCTATTTTAAATGACCTCCACAATCCGCGGATATGAATCTCGTCGAAAATTTGCGAAATCAACTAAAAGCGCAGCTTACTAAGTATCCAAATCCTTCCAATGGAGTACATGAGCTGTGAAAGCACACCAAGGATATATGGGAGGCTATACCTCCAGAATTTTTACAGAGATACACATAAGGTATGCCAAATTGCATCCAGGAACTAAAAAAAGCAAATGTATACTGAACATTGTGCTAACAATTCTTTTTTTTTCGTGAAAATTATCAAAAAGTTATTAAAAATATATAAGTGTAAAACTGTAACATATGCCTTAATTTACATTTTTGTCTGCTGGTGTTATTATTGTTGTGGGATTCACTTCAAATCCAATAAGAATATACAACAAAAGTATGAATGTCGTTAGAACTTGGAAAGATAGCGGTGGCTGAAATAAAAAGTGTTACACCATGTTACAGTTTTGCTCCTCACTGTACATATGCATGTGTAAAAGTGAAGTGTTGGGCTAATACATATGTATGTATATACACATGTATGTAATTTATAAAGTGTACGCATTAAAAGCACGCTAGGCGCAGATTAATTTGAAAAAAAAAACAGGTGATTGACATTCCTGTAAGTTAGGATAAAAGTTTTTATGGAAATTATTGCATTAAATTATCTAATTTACATAATAATAATAATAATAATTTAATAGTATTAATCTTCAAGCGCTGCCAGAAGTTATCTAAGTGAAGATATTTTGTATGGAATTTTGGTTTCTCTTAAATATCTTCAGTTTAATGTGAGGTGTGTGATTTCCGATTTGACACAAAGCACTCCTGTTTCGACTTATACATAAAAAATAATGTGTTTATTGATTCTAACTTCTCGACTAACCTGTAAGCTGGAGCTCCGGCGGTAAAAACATACGACAAGCTGTTCGCTGCTGCAAACATTACCGGCAAACAGATGAGCAGATAATTGGTTTTTTGATATCGGCCGAACTCGCCGATCTCCTCCAATATCTGATCAAAATCCATTGTTATTGTTAATTAATTTCTATTTACAAAAAAAATATGCCGCTTGTCACTTTTTTTTCTTCACTAAACAAGTAATTTATATTTATATTTAAAGAACACTTATATGGTAAATAACGATTTCCTTCACTTCGAAATAAAGTTGCAACTAAAAACAATTTTTAAATTCTTTGTACACATTTTCGAGATCTCTTGAGTTGTTATCTTCAAACCAAATGCGATTTTTTTGTTTTATTTGCTTGATGATTAACGCATCCGTGCCTGACGGTTGCGTTGCACTAAAGTCTGTCCACTCACTGTGTGTTGAAGCCAAGTGTCGCTGTCATAACCACATGCGTTTCAATTGTTTTTTGGCAAACTGCAGTGCCCTAGATATGAACCTCTACGTTGCCGGTATATTTTTTAGATCTCAACACGACGACAGCGCGTTCCAAACTGAATTTCAAAATGTGGGAAATCTTCTAGGTAGGAAAGTGCGAATAATGCTTCCGAAAAGATTTTTGTCAATGAATGAAATGGAAAGTTTCTCTTCTCCAATGGGCAACTATGCATGTTTGTTGGAATATGTGGCGAAAATCTTTCAGCTGATGCATTTGGTGTTCTCGCATTGTCGCTCGTTGAGTGAACGAGAGAAAGCTTGGGGGGCTCCCACACCTGCTTAATCGGGCAATTTTTAGGTAAATAGCGAGTGCCAATGTTCACAGAAGTGATATTTACAGACATATGTACGTGCATATCAGTGTTGCCACGGACACATTTTTTTCCAACCAAGATTCCCTGTTAAAACCAGCCAAAACCTACCAACAATTTATTTTTAGTTGTAAATAATTTTATTTTTATTTTTCAATGTCAAGTTTATTAAAGATATAGCAAACGTGAGATTTAATAAAACCATAAAATATCTAGTACAATAAAAAAAAAATAATTCCGTATAACAATTAATTTTACTGTAAAGACTTGTATAAATGTACGGCCGTTAACAGCTCCATCCAGAATATTTATTCTGGCCACATTTGCACTTATACGAAGACTTTCACGAACACAGACTTCGATTGCGAAGACTTCCGCCTGGAATATTGCCAGCCTTTTCTGGAATCTTAGTCCAGGTACGTCTGCCCCTGTACTCCTGTCCACCATCTTCGATAACTTAGGTAGCATGATGACCGTTAACTTGATAGCGGGATCATCCAGGAATGGCTTGAGAAACTATGAATGACCCCGAAGATCTCCACTAATCATGCTGATCAGAATAGACAAAGGAGGAATGCCTGTAATGACACCAAGAGCATCCGTTGGACATGAGCGCATAGTTCCTGTGGGTGATATTCCACAAGTCTTACCATGAAGTCTCTGACAGGCATAAAACGCCCTTGTAGTCTTAATATCAAGATATGTGAGTTCGAATTGAGCCTTTTTCCAGAGTTACTCTGGATAGTTCGCTTCTTCTGAGAACTCAATTTCTGTCCCTGCCAAGGTGGATCTAGTCAAGTAGACTTTAGTGGACTTATTGACAAGCCCTTTTCAGCAAGCTAGTCTTCAGCACAACTATTTTTCGCAAATAACTATTATTGTCGCGGAATCTACCACAATCCAATCTACCCTACCAACCTACCAAACGGAAATAAAACCTACCAGTTTTGGTAGGAAAAGCCCATGTGTGGCAACAATGGTGCATATTCACTTGCAATTGGCGCCTACAGTGGTGCAGCATTGCTCTCTTCTCTGCACATCAGTCAATAGCAGCCTTAACTAATTTGTAATACAAATGTTGAATTACATATGGGCATTAGGCGGGCTCGGCAATAAGAAATTGTACATAATTATCTCCTCTTTTTTATGGTTATTCCTTTAAATTCCCGCTATAGCATGCGCTGAAAACAGCCCAATCGAAAGGTATTCATAATAATAGTACATATGTACATATGTGGACAAATCTCCAGAACCGGACGAAAATATTTAAATAGATAAGTTATACATCAAATGAATTGAAATCCATTGAGGAAACAATAAATTCTTGCATGATTCAGTTTCTTTAAATGGTGAAAGAGTTATCTTATTACATTAAATGATCAATTCTTCCATATAAATATGTATAGGTATACATATATATATATATATATATATATGGATATATAATCCATAGGTTTCTCGGAAACGACTCTAACGATTTTGATGAAATTTTTTATACATATAGGCCCATAGTCATAATCCCAAGTTAAAACTAATTTTTTTTTTACCCGAGCGCACTTGTGCACAAGGGTATTATAACTTTATTCACATAACGGTTGTTTGTAACAGGCAAAACGATTCGAGATAGATATAGACAAATGTATACATAAATGATCAGAATGAAAAAACAAAATTAAGCGGTGACTGTCTGTGCGTCCGTCCGTCCGTTTGTCCGTCTGTGTACACGATAACTGGAGTAAAAATTTAGACATCTTAACGAAACTTGGTATGTGTACTTCTTTTCAGCGTAGGACGGACGGTCTTGACAAAAGTTACCAAAAATCGGACGATAACCTCGCTCACATCCCATATAACGGTAATTTAGAGAAATATGAAGCTTCGATAAATCGGTAAATACTGAAGCTAATTTATTCAAAATTGGTGTTTGCAATCATTCTTTAGCAAAAAATACGCTTATAAAATGTTTTTGGAAAATGGGCGTAACCCCGCCCGCTTATGACCACATATCTGTATCTCGGTAACCGTTCGATCAACTTGTACCAAACTCGGTGTGATATTATTGTGCTTGCCACATAAAGGTAAAACTTGGAAAATTATTGAAATCTGACTAAAATTACGCCCAGTTTTCTATAACGGTAAATTTCAGAAATGCTTGAAATTTCGATATTTCGAAATTTAGGGACATAGCGTTTACCCAAAATTGATACTAACAACAATCCCTTGAAACAAGTTATGGAATTTTGGAAAATGGGCGTGATGCCGCCCACATATATCTATATAAGTTTATCTCATTATATCTAACTGAACGTTCTATCGAAGATGTTTGAAATACGTAGATGTAAAACCATCCCTGTTTACCACGTAGCGGCAGTTTTCAGAAAGGTGAAAAAACCATATTGAATACCTGCTGCCGGGTATTTAATGTTCGGCTCCACCCGAACTAAGACTTTTTTACTTGCTTAGTTTGCACAGTAACCCAGAACCAACAAAAAAGTTTTGTAATATTATTGATCACTCAAAATATACAAATACAAAAATAAAAAAAAATGAATATTACTAAAATTTGTTATTTTTCCGAATTTATTAACAAGGCGTCACACAGAGGAGTATTTGTATAGTAAAACCGGTTTTTCTACTCAGTAATTAAATAAAACATTAAACTTAATCATAATTAGGCATTTATATGATAAAAATTACTAATTACTAGAGCGAATATTTATATGCTCCGTATTTTGCAAATTAAACTCGTTCTACTACACTTATCTTAGGATCATTTTCGTGAAATATATAGTTATATTCAGTTACCATAATTCCACAAAAAAACTTTTTCATAAAAAGACAAGAACGGAATTCGTTTTGCTATAACCTATTTAGGTCGACGATTGTGCAAAAATTTACGTTACTAAAGTTTTGATGCTTTTTCAATTTAAATTACCCTGCTTCGATGAAAGCTGTTGACTCTCGATTATACTTTTCGGCATTCGTTTTCTTATATTTTTAAATAATTTTTACAGATGAATAAAAAGTAGGAAAAAACTAGCGATGGATCGGGGTTTTTCATAGATCTTTGGCAAATAGTATTCAATTGTTACGTATTTTTTACAAAATTAAAGGTCAAACTTATACCTGTTAACAATGAGACTCTCCTTATAACTATACATTGAAAATTTCTGTAAATCATATCCAAATTTACAATTTCACGACTGATCGTGTTTTGTCAAGATGGGGCACATGCGAGCAAATTGTTTTTGCTTTAATTGCTCAAAGATAACTGAACAAGGCGAATTTATACAAGGTGGTGTTGATGGCGAATTAAATTTTCGCCGCGGTACTACTGAATGTCAAAATGATGTGTTTGTTGTAAACAAGGCGAATTCATTTTACAACAAACACATAATTTTGACATTAAGACGTACCTCGGCGAAAATCTAAATTCGCCATCAACACCACCTTGTATAAATTCGCCTTGTAACTGAAGTTACATATATTTCAAGAAAGGAAACTTTGACAAACCTTGACAAGTAAACTAAAATACCAAAATTTAAAAATATTATCCAACAAACGTATCAAAATAGACCGATTTTAATTTTTTAAAAAAAGGCCATATTAAAAGCAATTTACTTAAACGACTGAAAGCGTGGAGAAAAAAAAACTATCACAACATTGACTGTTTTCAGGTTGACATATGGGCATTCCCATGGTGGCGCACGTGACAGTCGTACGATTTCAATGTGATACAAAAAAGGAATACCGTTTGTTTTCTTTAACTTTTTTTGGCCATTGTATAGCACATAATTAGTTCTATATTTAACCGAAAAATGAAATCAATCGAACCGCTTGGTCCTGAAATATAAGCATTTAAAGAGAGTGTCGTTACGTGACAAAAAATGGAAGTTGATTTTTTCTTTTCTTACAAAATCGCAAATCTCTGCGAATTGTGGACGGCTATTTTCATGAAACTTATTTTAATATGATTTGGAGCAATTCTAGTTGTTTTTAGAGTTTTTTGAATTAATGCAAATTGTTTCAATTCTTTTTTACAACGCCAAGTGTGAAACGTGACGTGACGTGGCGTCACGTGACATAAATTTCCATCATTATATTTTTGTTAATATTGCTTTTAAATGAATTTTTAATGCAAATAAAACTTGTACTTTATGTAGAATATACTTTATATTTTGACTTCAGCGCCAATTCAGGGTCAATTTATTAAAAATCTATGATTTATTATGTTTCAACCACATACGCCAAATTCGAACCAAATCGGACCATAAATACGGTTTTTCGAAATATCCCGACCTTGGCACCACCTAGGACGACCATTTTATGCAAAAATGATTCTACTTACATAGCCAGTATATACTTTAAAAAGCAGACAAATCGGCCAGTAAATACGTTAGATATAAAACTTTTATTTTTTTTTGTCGTGGTGGACCTTCCGCTGGAAACACCCATATGTCAATGAGAAAGCAGCGGAGGGAGTTTTCATGGCTACCAATCAATAGACCAGTTATTTGGCTTAAGGAATAGCCAGGAATGGAATTTAAAATATTAAAATGTGCCTAATGGTCTCCAAAAATAGTGCTAAAAAGAAGAGAGTGCCACAAAATGGAAATTGGTTACTTTTAAGGCCTTTTAAGAACAATATATTTTTAGAAATGGTATTTTTAAAATACACTACATATAATAATTATTAATTAAATAAATTATTATAGTAAATCCTTTTGATGAAGGATTCCTTAGATACAGTGTCCCAATTAAGAAGGGGAAATGCACCGAAACATAGCTATTCTGACATTTGTATACATATATGTACCCACATATATGCGGAATAAAGGCATTTTGACCAGTTTCGCCTATATTATATAAAAGTCTATCGCATAATATAACAAACACCAAACATGTACACAAAT